GGTTGCTTTTTCTCTCGTGTTTGGGTTGTGTTGTTGTGTTTGGGTTGTGTTGTTTTCTCTCGTGTTTGGGTTGTGTTGTTTTCTCTCGTTTTTGGGTTATTTTCTCTCGTGTTTGGGTTGTCTTTTCTCTGGTGTTTGTTGTCGCTGAGCCACATCAGGGTGAGGGTGGGGTGTGCTGGAGTCAGGGGAAAGGGCGAGTGGGGCTGGGAGAGGAATTGAACCTTTCATTCATGGAATTACTGCTGTTGGAAAAGCTCTTAAAGATCAGTGAGTCTGGCCCTTTCCACACCACTAACCCGTGTCCCCAAGTGCCACATCCACTCATTTTCAAACACTTTTATGTATGGTGACTCCACCTCTGCCTTGGGAAGCCTTTTCTTACTGCTTGGCCACCCTTTCCATGAAAAAGTTTTCCCCAATATCCAACCTGAATCTCCCCTGGCACAGCCTGAGGCCGTTCCCTCTCCTGTCCCTGTTCCCTGGGGGCAGAGCCCGACCCCCCCGGCTGTCCCCTCCTGGCAGGGAGTTGTGCAGAACCATAAGGAGAACTCCTTTGCTCCAGGCTGAGCCCCTTCCCAGCTCCCTCAGCCCCTCCTGGGCTCCAGCCCCGTCCCAGCTCCGTTCCCTGCACTCTCTGGAACAGTTCCAGTGATCAGCTCCCTTGTTATGATCAAGCCCTGCTGTGCTGGGTTTTCCTGGCTGGAATTGTGCTGAAGGAATTCTCCAGGCTGCTCCACCCCTGCTCTGTGCTGGGGAGCTCTGCAGGCCCAGCAGCTCCAGTTTGGCTCCTGATGCCTTTCCCTGTCTCTCAGGAGTTCTCAGGGTGTTTTGTGTGCTCAGGGATGAGTTGTGGGTGATTCCTAAATCCTGGGGCTGCCCTGGGATCAGCACTGGGTTGTTGATGGTCACAGACTCAGTGTTGGGTTGTTGATGGTCAGACTCAGCACTGGGTGTTGTTGATGGTCACAGACTCAGTTCTGGGTGTTGTTGATGGTCACAGACTCAGCACTGGGTGTTGTTGATGGTCACAGACTCAGTGCTGGGTGTTGTTGATGGTCACAGACTCAGCGCTGGGTGTTGTTGATGGTCAGAGACTCAGTGCTGGGTGTTGTTGATGGTCACAGACTCTAGCACAGGTTTTGTGACTGGAGGAGGATCTCGTCTCGGATCAGGAGAGCTGTGGTTGAGAGTGGAGCACAGGGAGCGTTTCCTGGCAGTTTGCACATCCACATTATCTGTACTCCAGGGAATATTCCACAGTGGATGAAAAGAGTTCCCAGGAACAATTCCTGACAAACAGAAAGTGGCTTTCTGCCATTACTGAAAGCTTCTGGTTTAGGATAAAACCTCAGGTCATTAGAGATGGCTTGAACTGGAATTCTGGTCAGGATTCCTCCAAATTCAACATCAATTTTCTGGTTTCCTTTAGATGATGATAATGATAAAAATGATGGTTATTGTATGTTGTCTAGATTACGTTACTATATATTTATTGTTATCATTACTTTCATTATTTTATTACAATTTTCAGATAATCTATGGAATGAATGCAGCTGTATAAAATAAATATGTATCAACTACAATAAATTAATTTTACTTTGTCCCTGGGTGCACATTTCCAATTGACAATGAATTGTTACTTTGCCACTTCTTGGATCCCATTAAAATAAATTATTTTGGTTCTCTGGAGTGGCCCACAGTCCCTGGCTATTTATTCCCATTTGTGGATGAAGGTTGTGCCTGAAGGAACAGTGGGGAGTGAAGGCAGATGGAAAAGGAGGTCACTGTTCCTTCTGACTTTGCAGGAAGATTGAGTCAATTTTCCTGAGTCAGTTTGTCCCTTTGGGCTCCACTGCTGCATTTTTTAATGGCACAGTCAGGATTTCTGTGGGAATCATGTGCTGGTGGTTGCACTGGATTTGGTGGATGAATTTATTTGGCAGAAATAAATATTCCTATTTCCTGAAAACATTCCAGAGTTTTTGTTAATGCAAGCATAAAGAAGGTGAATGTTTGAATACTCAGTATTTTGTGTTTTGTGTTGTTTTCTGAGAGTAATGAACAGTGAGAGAAGTTTAGGCAATAAAATTGCTGTGTCTGGTCAAGAAAACAGGAATTCTGGCGAACTGAAGGAAATGTACATTATTCTTTTTAATTTTGTGTCTTGAATTAAGTAAGTAAAGAAATAAATCTCCCAGTTTCTTTCTGTTCTCTCTGCTTTCCTGCCTTCCTTAATGCCCTGTCCATAGGGAGGTGTTGGTGTTGCCACACACAGACTGTTCACCAAAAGAAGTCTCCTTTTTGGGTCAAAAAAATGTGATCTGGTTGACAGATCCCTCTGTGAATATCACAGAATTTTATTGTTTTTATTGAATTTGATAATTTCTCTGGTAATGTTAAATAAGATTTCTATCAGTCCACCATTTTTTTGGTCTTCCATGAGTTTGTTTCCCTCAAGGTTTGTTCATGGATCTGCCTTAGGCCTTTCTAAAGTATCATAACAACACAATTATTCCTGAGTTAAAGTTAAACTGAGTTAAGTTTCATATCTGAAACTTAAGGAAGTTTATTCATACAGGGTTGGAAAGTGAAGGAGGATGAAGAGGAGAAAGAAAACTACTTCAATAACTGTGGGAGAAATTCCCAAGGACAACCTGGCACGATACAGATTTCCTACTGTTTCTTGGTTTTTTTTTAGGAAAAGAAATGAACCTGTTCTTGAGCCAAATTGATCTGACACCCTAAAAAGGGGATACTGAGGGAGCTTTTTTCATTCTGCTTAAGGGACTCTTAAAAATTCATTAATTCATGGAAGCAATGAGCTTGAAGACTGAAGCAAAAAAACTTCCAACTCCTCTTCATGAAAAATGTATGGGGACAGCGCTTTATTTTATTTTGCTTTATAAAGTGGTTATAAAGCACTCGTGGTTTTTTCTTTGTATCACCTGGGAAAAGCTTTATGATGTGGAATTGTTGCAATGAAGCCTTTTCAACTTAGAGAGCTAAAAATATTTGCAGTGATCCTTTCTCTCCTCTGTCGTTTGAGTAAATCTGTGTGAATTCCACTTCTTGGTATCTCATTGGACTTCTCCTTCTCTCTTGCCTATCCTTCAGCTTTTTGTCATTCTCCAAAGATGTAATTACCTGATATTTGTTTCAAGGTAAAGAATGTTATTTCCCAGACAATCACAATTTTGGGGCATCTTGCTCTTTTTCATGGAGATAAAAAGCTACAATTGCCTTCTGTAATCATTAAAATCAGAATGACCTGAAATCCAGGCAAATGAGATTTTTTACTGGTGCTTCCCCTCCCAATCTACTTTTAAAGTTGCTGTTTGCAGCACAGTCAAAACCAGTTTTTAAATCTGTTAAGATTGAGGTGAATGGTGATTCCAGGTGGAATGAAGAGGTGAGCACTGAAAACTGGCAGAGGAAAATATTGATGCAAATATATCTTCAGTTCATCTCTCCCTCTTTTTCTTGCTTCATCTCCCTCTGATCTGCTCCTCCTCCTTTTGCCCAAAAGTTAGAAGTGTCCCCTTGCTTTGACAGGTGGAGGAATGAGCCTCTTTGGAGGTTTCTTCTGCCCCTTGGTTCCAGTTTGCAGCCCTAGTTAGTTGGGGTGCAGGTAAGTGCCCATTCTCTCTTCAGCAGTTCCACACTTGTGGGACTTGCTGAAAAATTCCTTCTCAATTTGCAGTTACTTCTTATATATAGAAAAAAAGTTGAGGCTGTAGATTATGGAGTTATGAAAGAAGTGTTGAGAGATTCAAAGAACAGAACAAAGTGTTGTCCAGGAGCTGCTGCTGTTCCTCATTTGCATTGTTAGTAGTGCTGGGAGGTTTAAAGCGCTCCAAAAGTCTTTTCTCTGCTTTAATTATGTTCAAACACACAAATATTTCTACTTCCTCTTCGTTTAAGCAAAACTGTTTTCTGTCAGATTTTTGTCTGTCAATGCTAGTCCATCTCAACTCTTGTTTCTGATTCCAAAGCATCCAGTTCCATTTTGCTCCTAAGCCCTCCAGAGACAGCTTATTGTTATGACACATGGTTAGAACCATGTCATTGCCCATATTTTAACTTTCAGTACCTTAAAAACAAAAGCACTGCAGAATTTCCTGCCCACTGCACTGATACCTCATGTAAAAATCTCCATTTTACACATTGTGACCAGAAATGAGGCATTGTACCAAAATACGAGGTGTGGGAGTTAATTCCAGGGTCACAGCAAGGAAAGCTGTGTGTGCCTGGTGCCTTTGTGTGTTGGGCAGACAGCAGTGGGGTATTTGTGTCAGTACCCAGGGGAATGGGACCCCCAGCAGCACCTGCCCAACTTTGGGAGTGAGGAGCATTCCTGTGGCACACAGGACTGAGCTCACCCAAGCACCACTCCAAGCTGAGTCAGAAGCCTGGAAAGACAGAAAAAATGCTGGTTTCAAAACTAGCTGATGGAAAGCAGGACACAGCACTGATGTCACTGGGATGGGACTGGGAACTACTCCCATGTCCATGTTCCCAAGGCATTGATTGACATGGGAAGTCACTGGAATGGAGCTGGTGCTCTTGGTGACTCCTGGTGGAGTTGGCAGCTCTGCCTTTTAATCGCTCTGGATCCGCTGTTGGGAAACAACTTCCAGTGATTTGGTCTCTTCTTTCCAGTGAGGGCAGCTCTGTTTGCCCAGGTGTCTCTGCAGTGCTTTGGGCAATTCTGCTCAGACTCCAGGAGTTCTTTGTAGAAGAGCCTGCTTTGGGCAGACTCCCCTGGAATGGGAAAGGTTCTTTGTCTTGCCATGGACTCAAAAAATCTTGGCATTTGGAGCAGTCCCAGCTAACTTGTGCTTTGTACGATCTGTCTGTCTCTTGGTGCGTTCTTACCTCCACCTGCAAGAAATCTCTGTTTTCTCTCCAGATGTCCCTGGTGCTGTTTCCCTGTGTTCCTCCTTGGTTTTGAAGTCTTTCCCCTCCCAGACTTAGACTTCTGGTCTCAAAAATGTTTATAATCCAGTAACATTTGAGGGTTTTCCATCTTTCTGAAGATGAACCACCTCTGTGGTCTGTATCTGCCTCGAGAATGGCTGGGCAAGTGCAGTGGAGGCACAGGAGCTGCCTTTTCCACTAGATAAATGCATCCTGCTTCCAGATTTCTTTGTTATGTCTGAAGTAATTTCTGCTTCCATCCTGCCATGTAACTACTCTGCCTGTATTTTCCTGAAGTGTTCCTTAAATTCATAGTTCATAACACTCAGGAAGGATATAAATAGTAACAGGGAGGTAGGAAAGGGAAAAATAAAGCTTTTCAGGGAATTCAGGAGGAAGTGGTTTCACTTTCATAATGAAAGGCCCCATGAGGGAAGAAGAGGTAATGTGAGGTGTTTCCTGGGGTCTTTTAACTTGTTTTTAATCTGAATGAGATGCCATTTCTTGCTGCTCTGGGGTGTAGAAGTTGGATACTATTTTCAGACAGACTGAGGTGGTCTGAAATGGAAATCCAGGTAGGCAGTAGGAAGCTCCTGAAGATTAGCTCAGGCATTTTCCAGGAGTTAATTTGCTTCAGCCCTGGGTGTAGAGGTCACTAATGCTTGTGAATTAAAGTACCTGTGCTTGTTCACTTACACTGCCTTTCATTTTTCTCTTTTCCCTTTTCTTTGTTAAGCATTGCAGGATGTATGTACCGAGTCGTTCAGACAACGGGACCAGATGGGAAAAAACTCCTGAAATTGCTTCCCATTTCTAAAACTTCTGGAAGCTTTGTGCCAATAGTTCAGTCTCCAGCCATGCCAAATAATTCTAATGCAAATGTTTCTAGCCCAGTCCATCTTAATTTTAAGACACAGCTTGGCAATACTGCTGCACCTTCATCTGTTAAGATACCTATTTTTCAGCCTCCTAATCCTGGAAAGATTATTCTTAGGAGGACATTAGACAAGCAGGAAAGTGCTAGGGCAGGTTCTGAAAAGGAAAGCTCGATTCCAAGTGCAGCTGTCAACTCCCAGAGCAGCTGTGTGCCCACGGATGGAGTGTCCTTGCAGAATGTGGTCATCACAAGCTCCTCTCACCAGAGCAGCGCAACCTATATGGTGGTGAACACCAAATCCCTCCCAGTGACTGTCAAGTCTTCAGTGCTGCCCTCCGGACACCACCTCCAGATTCCAGCTGATGCAGAAGTGAAGTCTGTCCCAGCATCTCTTTTGCCACCTGCAATTCAGCAAAAAATCCTGGCAGCTGCAGCCACCAACGTGTCTGGAGGGGCCGACGGTACAAAAACGCCGACGGTGATTTATGTGTCACCCGTGAACACTGTGAAAACCTCCCAAGTCCTGCCCAAGTGCTTGCAGAGCTTTTGCCCCAAATCTGCCATGGAAGTTTCAAAGACACTGGTAGTGACAGCTGCCCAAAAGGGATCTGGCTCTTCTCCTGAGCCAGTCACACCTGAGGGGCAGCAGTGCCAGCAGGCTCCCATGAAATGGATCGTGCAAGAAACCGCCCCACTCTCAGCAGCTTGTCTTATCCCTGTAAAGTCTTCAAATAATGTGGCTTCCAAGATCCTGAAAACTTTGTCAGACATGAAGAATGTAGAAGTTAATACTGCAAATATTTTGCCACTCTGTTCTAATGGTCCTGGTGGAAGCCAAACCAAAATCACACCTTTGAAAGATAATGCTCTGGTCATGTACAATGGGAAGATCTATTTATTGACCAAAAGAGGCTCTGATGTTCTGTCAGCCCAGGCTGACAAACAAACATCTTCCTCTTCTGATGCTTTACTAAAAAAGGAGACACCCAAGCAAATTGATTCTACTGAAGTCAATAAAATAACCAGTAAAGTGGTGAATCTGGTGTTGTCAAAAAGCAAAGGAGTGGTGCTGTCTCAGAAAGACCCAAACCCATGTACAGTCTCCAAAAATTCATCACCAGTTGGCTCAAGAAATGACTTAAAATCCACATCTGCTGCTCTGCTTATGCCAAGTGCTGATCAGCAGGATCCCACTGTAATCCAGAGACAGAATTTTCCCTTCACCAAGAGCATTTCTTGCAGTGGAGTGATCCCGGTTCCAGCAGTAGGGATGCAGGAAAGTGTGTGGCAAAATGGCAAAGACACGAGTCATTCCCCACGAGCAGCTGTGCTACCTCAGGCTAAGCAGGAATGTGCTGTCAGTGAAGAATGGCCAAAGGTAATAAATCATAAACATGCCACCTCAGTATCTGCTCAGTGGTTCTCTGCTCCTGGTTTTGGGTGGATAAAATGGCCCTTGATGAGTTCACACATTCTTGTAACAAGGTATCCTGGAAATGCTGCCCTAAGGTTGGTTCTAGTCAATAAAAGGTCTTTTCCCCGATAATTTTGCACTGTGCAAGTGAGAAATGCATAAAAAAGAGAGGGACAGAGGAAGGGTGACTTTTGATTTCCTCCCAGGATAAATGGTCAGCAATAAATGAGCTGCAGGGAGGCTGTTCATGGTTTGGGCTCTTAGATGTTGATGCCACATGTTCACAGCACAACATCAGGGCTGCAGGGGTGATGTGAAGGACAAGTTTGTGGCTTCACAAAAGGAAAATAAGTTGGAAGAGCTGAGTTTGTCCTCCAGAGACAGCTCTGGTGTGGCAGTGTCAGCTCCAGGCTCCACTTGCTCTGACAGCCATGGGCAGGAGCTGTGTTTCCTTCCTCCCCTCCCTGGGTCCACATCAGGAACTCTTGAGATCATTAATGCTGCATTGACATACTCTTTTAAGATCATAATGTTGAAAATGTATTAAAAGTTGTAAGCCTCCAATCCCCAAGCTCCCCACGCAGGATTGGTCATGTTTTAAGTAGCTCCAGAGGCCAGGATGATTTTGTCTTCAGAGAAAAAAATCATTCTGAAATTTGTGTTGTCCAGGCAGAACAGAAATGTCAACTGAGTGTATCTTTGCAAATTTTAGACAATTGTTGCAACAGACTGTAAGACCTAGTTTTTTGATTGTTTTTCACCTAAAAAATGGTTGAAATATCATTTACTTTCTTCAGTGTTGTGTGATGCTGAGTGTCAGCATTTGCTTTAACCTTGGTGAGAAGTAATTCAGCAAATTAGGTGTTCTTGTCCCTGAATTTGCAAACCTCTGGATTGCAGAGTAAAGACAGTAAAGAGTAAAGACCTGCACTTCCTTCTTCTTTCTTTGCTACTTTGGAAGGGTAGAACAGGTGATTCTCTTGCTGCTTCTTTTTTTTTTTTTTCTGTGATTGCTGGTTGGTCTGGACATTTTCTGGGTGTTCCACAATGGACTTGGGGTGTCAAATAACGAGTGCTAGACCTACAATAATTTGCATATAATTTATCAAAATTGGCTTATCTGCATTAAATGATAGCTGTGTTAAAGATAGCTCTGGGAGAATGGCAGACAAAATAAATGTTCACCTGTCTTTCTAGTACCTACTTTTTTATATTAATATATTTTATCTATTTATATATATGTAGAGAGAGAGAATGAGGGAGTGATTGATGGCTCTCTTGCTGTTTCTGTATTTCAGATCCAGTGTGAAAAAATGGACTCACCAGGAAAGGTTATTCAGATCAAACACCAAGACAACCAACACTGGAGACAATTCTTGGAATTAAGGAAAAAATTTGGTCTCTTTAAGGAGGAGAGAGTTTACCTTACGAGAATACCATCGAGAGCCTTCTGTGAGAGTCCAGAAGAAGGGGTTTGTTCCAGTGACAGTTTGGAAAGGAAAAATGATTCTTGCAGTTCATCCTCATTGGATGTGGAAATAATGAATCATCATCAGGAATGTGTTAAAGAGAAAAAGGTATCTGGGATTTTTCAGTGCTAAATACACTCAGAAAGCAGCGTCTGTTGAGTCAGTACAGAGCTGGGGGTGTTTGGAGCCTCCCACCTCTGAATTCACCAGAAGAGTCAGGAGCTGTTGTGATCTCTGTGAGAATTGTTCCTAGAACTTGTTTGAGATTTCTGGATGACTCGAGCACCCTCTAGGAATTTTTATCCTCGTTTTTGGGTTCAAATGGAGGAAACTTGAACAACAAATGCTTTTGAGAAAACTGTCCCTACTACTGTGGTGATGGTTCTTGTTGGAGTAGGGACCAGACCTCGGGATCCTGGTTTATATTTATACCCTCTGCAGATGATTATGTTTGTGAAGCAGCACAGTGGGCACAGGCAGAGGAATGGATTTGTTAAAGGAAATTACTTTTGGATCTGTTCAATTTTTAGAATTACAAATGTTGTTAGAAACTTTGTCATTGGTTGGGTACTTCTGGAAGGAAGAACTTCAGTGTTAATGTGTGGAAAGGACTTTATCCGTTCAAGTATTTCCGTTCAGCTACATTTTCTTATGTGTGATTCTACTCAACTCAACTCAATCAAAGATGTTCTCAGGTTTTACTAATTTTGTGCTAATAATTGAGCAGATCCATGGCTGCTCATAATATTACCATTGCCATTACCATTACCATTAACTTTAACATTAAACCATCCCTTAGAAGTATCCAAGGCCAGGCTGGACAGAGCTTGGAGCAGCCTGGTATCATGGAAGGTATCCTTGCCCATGGCAGGGGGTGGAATGGAATGGGATTTAAGGTCTCTTCCAACTCAAACCAGGATGTGATTCCATGATTCAAATAATAAAACATCTGGGAGGAATTTAGTCTGATCATGGACGTTACTCCTCAGATTCAGGTTTTGGAAATGTAGACATGAAGAATCCTTCTACACTGAATTTTCCCATCAAATTAGAAAGTTTTTGTCTTGCAGTAGTGTTAACTTAAACAGCCACAGGAGATGATGGACGTGCCCAGGATAGGGAGACATGCAGTGTTGACTGAGGAAGGAAATCAGTATTCTGAAATTGTTGACTGGGAATCTTTGCTAGAAAAACATCAAACACAGAAATATGTTTGTTCCTTTGCTGAAAGAAACTTCTTCCAAGCAGTAATTTAAAAAAACTTTCAACAAATAACTTGTTATTTGTGCCTAGAGAACTTGGTGTTATAATGTAGCCGATGCCAAGTTTAACAGAAGTGATTTTTGTCTTTCTGACTGCAGATAGCTGTGGATCTGGAAGAGGATTTGACTAGGAGAAGGAAAATAAAATCTTCACCTTTGTTGGACAGCGGGAAGAGGAGGAGAACTTCCATCAAATCAGCCACAAGTCCCAGTTTAGAAGTCAGCAGCTCGAGTTCCAGTGCACTTAGCAGGAGTGTGTCCCCTCCCACAGCCCCAGCGCTGCTGGCTGTTCCCACGGGCTCTGCTGGGGCGTCCCAAGAGAGGGACTCGGAGCAGGACACGTTCTCCCAGAGCAGTGACACTGCCCACACGGGCCTTTCAGTTTTAGTGAACCCTCAAGAGGATGCTTCTGTTCTGGAAGGTTCTTTCCGAGATGACGCCTTCCCCGTGGCTCCCCCAGACCTGGATGAGACAATCCGGGATGAGAAAATCAAGCGACTGAAGCAGCTGCTGCGGGAGCGCGAGGCGGCGCTGGAGGAAATGCGCCGGGAAATGCAGCAGAGCTGAAACCCCTGCCCTGAGGATCCCAGCCCTGTGCATCACCTCTTCAGGGACTTCAGGAGGAGATCCCTTGCTTAAATGAATATTTCTGGCAGGTGGAAGAACTAGATGAAATTTGTGTGTATTTAGAGAACTGTAGGTTTTTGTTAAATGCCAGAAATAAGAGACTTGGACCATCAAATTCTACTTCTGGGACAGGATCCAAGAGCACAGACATTTTTACCATTCCCCATATTTTGAATCTAGGGGTTCTGTATTAGTCTTAGAAAATAAACTTTCCTCTTTCAAATTCCATAGCCTGGCTCATGGAACCCCAATGCAAATTGCAAACCCTAGTTGTAGATACTTTTTTGTTTGTATTTCTCATTGCATGAGAACTTTGAATTGCTGAGAACTGTCAGTTTTCAGAAGAGGTCAACAGGCAGTTGTTAATAAATGCTATTTAAAGGAGCTGGGAATTAGGCTTTAGACAGTAACAATGCAGGTATTTATACAAAACCTTTTGCAGATATGAAGACAGAGGCAGGAGGAGCCCTTTGACAGTTTGGATGAATGGCTCTCCCTGTCATTATTGTGAGCCTTTATAAGGCCATGGCCAGCTCCAGCTGTGCAATGTGGAAATTTGGTTGTGGGGTTGTTTTGCAAGATGTACTTTTTCTAAACAGAATTCTGTTAATAATAATTTCTCAAAGCAAAAAGACTCCTTTATCCCTGGGTGGTATTTTTAACGATCCTCAATGAGTGTCTTTTAATTTGTTGCTGTTTGAACATGTCTCTTCCCACCTTCATTTGTGGTACCTTAGTTTGCCTTGTAGGAGGGGATGTGCCCTCAGACTGTCTTTACATCCTGATTTTTATAGAACTTTGTGTGTATTTTCCCACATGCTCTGTTGTATGTGTAGGGACACTTCCTTGTCCTCTGTTGTCCATGTCTTTGATCCTTGCAGGTTCCTTCTGCAGTTTTTCAGTTTCTCTTCCACCAATTAATAACTTTTTTTGCCAGCAGACTTTTATGATTGTCTTGTTCTTGTCTATTTATGTTTATGTTTAACATCACCGACCCCAGCAGAGCTCTGCTGTGGATTTGTGTTCACAGGAGGCTTTTTACTGTCTTTGCTTTTGTTTTTATTCTTATTTTGTTTAATTTTAGTCAAATTTTCATCTACAGGGTTTTCATTTATTATCCCATGGATGCCCAGTTTATCTGTAGGGTTTTGGTGTAGGATGGATGTTTCTTAGAGAGCTTAGTCCCAAATTCCTTGTTTATATAATTTTTGACAGTGGGAAAAATTCCAGTGGATTGGAGAAGCAAGAGAGGTTTTTACAAGGGAAGAAAGAAGTTCCTGCTCTGAAGAATCACAGAGAAGGCTTTGGGGTATAAGGGACTTTTACAGCTCATCTCATTCCACTCCCTGCCATGGGCACCTTCCACTAGCCCAGGTTGCTGCAAGCCCCATCCAGCCCAGCCTGTGACACTTCCAGGAGCAGGAAGAGCTTGAGCTGGACCAAGGTGATGGACCAGATGCACAGTAGTGGGTGAGGAGGGAGGGTAAATAATGGAAATAAAGTCTGCAGTGATTGAGATTACTTGGTAGGAGGGAAGTGTGGTGGAACAAGCAAGCCAGGGTGGTACTGTGGGCATCCATGGGCTCACTGTGTGTGGAATGGGTGTTCTGGGACAGACACCTACGTGCTCCACTCGCTCCCCTCCTGTGGGATGGGGGAAAATGGAAGAATGGAGCTATGGGTGAAGATAAAGGCAGTTTAACAGGCCAAGCAAAAGCTGCTTTACAAAAAGTAAAATCAAGAATTCAGTCACCACATCCTGTCAGCAGGCAGAAGATCAGCCATTTTCTGTGTGCACTATTCACTTGGAAGACAAATGCTGTGACCAGAAATGTTGTTTATTTGCTGAGCATGGCCTCCTGTGGCACGGAATATCCCTCTGATCAGTCTGGGAAGACTGTCCAGGCTGTGTCTGTTCCCAGTTCCTTGTACATCCCCAAATTCCTGTCCATCCTGAGCCTGCTGGGGGTGCACAGCGAGAGAAGGAGAAAACCTGTCTGTTGTGGGAGCTCTCCTCAAAACACAGGTGTGTGATCAGCAGTCTCCTCAAATCCCGAACACGGCATCACCTGGGGCTGCTGTGAAGGACATTGACTCCATCCCACCTGAAAGGATGAAGTGGGAATTGGGAGGGACACGGAGGCAGCCTCCTGTCATGTGTCTGGTGTTGCAATCACCTGCAGAAGATACTCTTCCAACAGATTTTGCTTACTGTTCTCTAACAAATGTCTTTCCTCTGTTTTACAATCTCAAGAAATAATGAAGCTGAGTTGTCTTTTCCTCTTGTTTCACTGGAGGATTCCAGCATTGACGTTCTACAATGTCTTCTTTCTCCCAGAACCCCTTTTCCCTGACTAAGTAGTCCATTTGCCTGAGTCTTTTGTAGAGAAATAAAATAATCAAAAGTTGGGAGAAGAATCTTCACTACAAAATTTTGAAGAAACGTGACCAGGATTTGGTTGTACAATGTAGTGATGGAAAACACCTGTTTCAGTTCAGAAAAACAGAGTGAAACCAAGTGTGGAAGAAAGAGATCTTCCTTGGGATGTGAGTGCAAGGTTGGAGGGATCACTGAGAAGCCTCTTGATGTGTCGATGGGGAAAGTTGTGCCAAGAGGAACAAAGTGGCTCCTGACAGCCAAGGACCTTGAGGCTGTTGGAGCTGCTCCTCATCCTGTCCGTAGCACAGATCGGGTTTTGCTGCCCTGTTCATCCTTGAGCTCCTGCGATTCATGACGAGTCTGTGACAAGAACCAGAGTTCTGGGAATGCTGGCTGTCACCAGCAGAAGGTGAAGGGGACTGGTGGCCATCCCTGAATGCAGGCCAGGCTGGCAGGAAGGTGTTACACACTGGGATTGCTGTGCTAAGTACATACAAAATTCGTGGATTTAGGATCTGAATTACAACTTACTTCAAGCAAATTCCTGGGAATAATCGGTGGAAGACCTTTTAGGAATTTCAGAGTCCAAAGAGCAGAGGTGGCAGTGAGTGCTGGACAGAACAGATCAGGAAGATGGTGCTGGGCAAGTTGTTACCATCAGCCAAACCTGGTGCCTTGGAGTCCCTGGCCAGGACTGTGCCCGTCTCCTGTACTGGGGACCCACCACAGCTTCAGAACTTCTGTGTGAGGCACAAAGCTTCCCAGAGGTCTGTCCCAGACAGAATCATTGGCTCATTTGGATTGAAAAAGACCTTCAAGATTATCAAGTCTGACTGTAAACCTGAGGTAGCCAAGCCCAGCACTGACTCAGGTCTAGGCATTGCTGGGTGCACCCCAGGAATCCACCTGGGGGTGGCTTTTATGGGCTGTACAGGAACACCCATCAGATCAAGCTCTGCACAGACGGCAGCAGTGTCATGTTCAGCACACAGCAGAGCATAATTGATCCAGGAGGTTCTGGAATGCACTGAGGATAAATTCTTGTGCTCACCAGCAGGGAGGACCTGGCGGGGAATGAGAAGCTCAAAGGCAGCCTGAGCTGAGCGAACGTGGAATGGTGGATTCAGGATCCTCAGGGCAACAAGGAGAGCACAGTGATCCCTGGGATTCAGGGTGTCACTTCAGGGATCTGCTTGGTTGAGTCTCATGGGATAAAGCCTTGGAGGGAAGAGGGACCCAGGAGAGCTGGTTGATATGTAAGGATCACCTCCAAGCTCAGGAGCAATGTATCCTAAGCACCAGGAAGTTGGACAAAAACTCCAGGAGGCCTCTGAGGGTGAACAAGGAGCTCCTGGACAAACTCAGAGAGTGTGGAAGCAAGGACAGGCAGCCTGGGAGAAATACAGAGGGACTGTCTGAGCAGCCAGGGGTCAGATTAGGAAACTTGAAGCCCTGATAGAGTTAAATCTGGCCAGGGACATCAAGGGCAACAGAAAATCTATAGGCACATTGGTGATAAAAGGAAGACGGGACAATATGGACCCTCTCCAGAAGGAAATGGGACACCTGCTTACCCAGGACATGGAGAAGACTGAGGTTCTCAGTGTTTGTGCCTCAGTCTTCACTGGGAAGTGACCCAGTTATACCACCAGAGTTGCAGAGGCAAAGGCAGGGACTGGGAGAAGGAAGAATCATCCACAGCAGGACAATTACAGAATCCTAAAACCTTTAAGGTTGGAAAAGCCCTCCAAGGTCATCAAGTCCAACCTGTGACCAATACCCACTTTGTCACTCAGCCCAGAGCACTGGGTGCCACATCCAGGAACCTCCAGGGATGGCGACTGCATCATCTCCTTGGGAATCCCCTTCCAATGCCTGACCGCCCCTTCCAGGAAGAAATTCTCTGGATGTCCAACCTGAAACTTTCCTGGTACAACCTGATGCTGTTTCCTCTTGTCCTGTCCCTGTTCCCTGAGAGCAGAGGTTTTTCCCTATGTGCTGCTCAAAGGTGGCTTTGGGTCCATCCCATCTGGCCCTAGGTGCAGGGTATGGATCAGCCCGCTGGGCCCAGGGGAGCGGAGGTGAGGCTGGAGGTTCTGCCACCCAAAAGGATTTGGGCTGAGGAGCACTGGAGAGAGGAGGGTGAGGGAGGTGAAACTGGGTGTGGAGGAAGAGACAAGGAGACACAGCTCATTAATAACCTTCATTTAATCCTTCATGACATTGGAAAATGTAGAAATGTCAGACTCATTCACAGTACTGGTAACATTTGCATTTCTGTGGGTTAATAGCAAAGCCCTTGATATGAAGTACAAGACAATCACTTCATACTTTTTAAAATATAAAATAAATGTTTAGAAAGAACAGCTGTTATTGCTATTAAATTCCTGAGTTCTCTTCATCTATCAGATGCTCCCTGCTATGAGCAGTGCCTGCTCCTCTGCCCTGAAGCTCCCTGGGCTCTCGTGCAGGGTCTGGCCCTGCAGGCTGACCATGGCTTGCAGGGAGATTTTCTGTGGAGGGAAGCAAAGGGAGTCCCTGTGAGTGGCTCCCTCGCTGCCTTGGCACTAGGCAGTTCAGTGGCCAGAGGAAACACCAAAGATTTTTGGCAACACCAACAGCTCAGCTCAGAACCACGTGCCTGGCTCCTAGCTGTGCTATGGACCTTTGCCTTGTCCTGGAGGAAAAGGCCCCTGCGGCTGTGGCTGGGCTGGAAGTGAAGCCAGTCAGGGCCAGTCAAGGCCAGTTAAAGCCAGCCTGACGCTGGAGCTGTGATAACACAGCAGAGACAGACTCTGTGGGCATCACTTAGAGCCTCTCATGGCTCTCCAGCCCTGGTGACTGACCCATGCTGGGGTAATGGCTGGACTCCATCACCTTAAAGGTCTTCTCCAACCAAAATGAATCCATGATCCCATAAAATCTAAGGCTGCCCATCTGCACCACACTGGGCTCTTCAGAAACAGAGAACATTAACTTTGTTTTACCTGGAAGTCACGGATGTAGGTGAGGAAGAAGCTGAGGAAGGAGAATGCCAGCGACCACTCAGAGACTGTGCTGATGATGTGGGGGGTGTAGCCCTGCATTACAGAGGGGAAAAGATCATGTGGAATCTGCTCTGGAACCTGCAGTGGCACAAGGATGGCCAGTGACTTGTGATCTCCCATGAGATCCTGCAACTACAACTATTCCCACTGGAGACCTAAATCCCTTATTGTATCTGGAGTCTCCAATGATGAAATGCTGAGGGATGACAATGACCAGAACACCTGCTCCAACTGGGATGATGCCCCCTGGGAATTTAATACCCACCTGCAAAAGGCTCAATCCAGAGCTCAATTAACAGAGTAGAGAGGTTTGAGGCCCTCCTCAAGATGCAGAAGGTATAAATACAGAGTTACACTTGAAGATCCAACAGTTTTGTGAGATTAGAACTTCAGCAAGTGCTGGCACAGGCTGCACAGAGCAGCTGTAGCTGCTCCATCCCTGGAAGTCCAAGTTGCCTATGGCAAGGAGTGGGACTGGATGGGCTTTAAGGTCCCTCCCAACCCACCCCAGC